GGGGGGGGGGGGGGGAGTTGGGCGCCGCACTTTGTCACACACAGAGCCACAGGGCCAATCAGGGGGTTGGGGCGCCGCACCCTGTCACACACACAGCCGCAGGGCGATCAGGGGTTTGGGGAGCTCCCTCCTATCAGGCACAGAGCAGGGCTGAGCAGGGTGTTGGGGCGCCTTCCCCTGTCACGAACAGAGCAGGGCGGATAGGGAGGTTGTGGCCCCGCCCCCTGTCACACACAGAGCCGCAGGGCGATCAGGGGGTTTGGGCACTGCCCCCTGTCATGCTGCTCCTGGTGCCGGGAGGCCTCGCGGCTCCACTGATCCCGGTGCTGGAGGCATATTACCCTTTTACTATATAGGATAGAGGCCTGGTGCATGGGTGGGGGCCGGCTGGTTTGCCCTGAAGGGTGTCCTGGATCAGGGTGGGGGTCCCCACTGGGGTGCCTGGCCAGCCTGGGTGAGGGGATGATGGCTGTTTGCATCTGGTCACACCCCCTTCAGGGTGGGGGTCCCCACTGGGGTGCCTGGCCAGTCTGGGTGAGGGGCTGAGGGCCGTTTTCAGGCTGACGGGTGACTGAAGTTCCCAACCGCTCCTTTTTTTCTTTTTCTTTTTTATTCTGGGCCAGCTTTAGCTCTGAGGCTCGGCTCCAGCTATGAGGCCTCCGCTGCTGAAAGCAGGTTTCTGGCCTTTGTTTACCTTCTGTATTTGAAACAATGTTGCGATCCTGCTGGCTGAAGCCCGGCTGATTAAAGCAGGTTTCTGGGGTTTTGTTTAGCTTCTATATTTGTTACAATGTTTCTTAGAGAGCAGCTCAGAGGCTGGCAGCAGCAGGCGGGGAACCTGGCTTCCTCCATCACTGGAGCAAGCAAGGCTCCCTGTTCACGTCAGCTGCCTGGCTGCCGGCCGCCATCTTGGCTGGCAGTTAATTTGCATAAGGATATGCTGATTAGCCAATGGGAAGGGTAGCGGAGGTATGGCTAATTACCATGTTTCTCTTTTATTAGATAGGATGTTTATTGATTTTAGAGGAAGGGAGAGAGAAACATCAATGATGAATCATTGATCAGTTGCCTCCTGCAGGCCCCCTACTGGGGATCGAGTCTGCAACTCAGGCATGGGCCCTGACCAGGAATCAAACCCTGACCTGGTTCATTGGTTGATGCTCCACCATTGAGCACATTGGCTGGGCGACTAGTGTTTTTTTAAGCTTCTAATAATATTAAAACATTTTAATCTCCAGCTTTACAATTTTAAAAGGTGCATTTCCATCCATTTGGATAGCTTGGGTGATAGGATCCAATTCTCTGTCCTAGGGTGGACTTTGTGGCCGTCAGGGTTTCTCCAGGAGACAACTATCTGCCTAGTGCTCCACTATGAACACAAGGTCAACGTCCATCAGATGACAGGCTTGCTCCCTTCAGACTTCCCTGCTTACCTTCCCCTCATTGTCACTAGTGAGAATTTTTTAAAATTTAAATTTATTATTTACTGTGGGAAGCCACCTATTGTCTTCACTAGCAGAGAGGTGTGGACAAGGGACCTGGAAGGCTGGTGACCCTTGAAGCCCTGGCAAAGGTCAGAGCTATGCACCCACTGTTTAGTCCAGCCAGGGGTCCTCAAACTTTTTAAACGGGGCCAATTCACTGTCCCTCAGACTGTTGGAGGGCCGGACTATAGTTTTTAAAAAACTATGAACAAATCCTATGTACACTGCACATATCTTATTTTGAAGTAAAAAAACAAAATGGGAACAAATACAATATTTGTATTTGCATGTGGCCCGCAGGCCGTAGTTTGAGGACCCCTGCTCTAGATAATGAGTTCCTGGCAACTCAGTGGTCTCAAGACCCGAGGGCTCTAGATAAGGTGTTTCTGTCAATTCAGTGACCCCGAGACCCAAACTATAATTAACATGCTTAATTCTGCTTCTGTAAACTGCTTTTTTGCAAACCAGGTTCCTCATTCCAAACCTTGAGATGTAATCAATACCTTTGTGATCTTTGCCTATATAAGTCTGGTTTTGCCACCATCTTATCGCTATGAGATTTGGGGAATGGCCCCTCATAGTCCTGGATTGCAATAAATGTGACTCTTTAATTCGACTTCTTGAGGCGTCCTTCTGTGATTCGAGGGGTACATTATAACACGAGGAGCACCATTTTGTTTGTATTTGGGCTCAAGTTCTAGCCCAAGCACAGGATGACCTTCAGCAAGGTCATAGGATGGAGGAGATGGGGCCCAGGTTTCCTCAGCTGTCACCTGGGGTCAATGACAGCTTGCCCTCTGGATGATGTGGGAATCCAATAAAATGCAAATTCCCTTACACGTGTCAGTGGCTAATCTCATTGGTATTTGGTGCAATAATATTTTCTTTGTCAAGCAGCTAATTCCATAGCAGATGCTTTGAGAAGGGCACCTGACCCACCGCTTGATAGAGCTAAATGTGAGCTCAAAGAGGAGCAGGGAGGTCGCTGGCCCCACCCCCACCCCCACCCCTGGTGCCTGCTATTTCTACAAAGCACATTTCCTCTCCCTGGGTGTCTTGCTCTGAAAAAGAGAGACAAACACCTGTCCTGAAAAGCCAAGGCATCATTAAAACACCCCCTCTCATCTACTCTTAGTCCTTAAAAGGAGCTGTCAGCTTCCCATTGCTAAAGCATGAAAGGAGGTTAATAACAATAGTAGTTCATGGAGATAATGTTCCATGAAAAATACCCTCCGTGCTAACTCAGTTCAGAGAAATGGGACCTGAGAGGCAGTGGAATCGATATGATTATGAGCCATCCAGAGGGAGAGGTACAGAAAGAACTCGATCGCCCCAGAATCCTGTCGCTTTCCCTACCTGGCTCCTCCATTAAACTCAATTTGCTTTTCTCAGCGTTGGCTAAATTTTCAGCCGGCCTTGCGGTCTGAGCCCACAGCACAACCATATCTTTACTTAAAGTGATCAGTGCCTGGTTTTTGTCATTCAGATTAATGTAGTGGAAAGACTCAGGGGTGGGCAAACTTTTTGACTCGAGGGCCACAATGGGTTCTTAAACTGGACCGGAGGGCCGGAACAAAAGCATGGATGGAGTGTTTGTGTGAACTAATATAAATTCAAAGTAAACATCATTACATAAAAGGGTACAGTCTTTTTTTTTTTTCGTTTTATTCATTTCAAACGGGCCA